CACTGGCATTATCATGATGAGTGTGGGCACTGCAGTGTGTGTCACCAAGAGTAATGACCATAGACAATGTGCCTGGTGCTGCTTTAGAAGCTTTCCACATCCATGGCTCTGAAAATGGGATGCAGCCTTCCCCAAATCATCAAGCAGAATGGACTCCTCCATTTCTCTAGAACATAAGCTCTGGCAATCAGTTGGTGATTCAGGCTTGTATTTGGGACCTAGCTTCTGTAGTAAAGGGTAGGGTTTCTGATAAGAACTCCTCCATGAAAACACTGGAAGGATGGTCAAAGGTCCTGTCAGCAACAGCCCCTCCCCATGTCCACCCTGCAGCCTCCAGAAGGGACTTTAAGAAGGCAAATTTACCAACTTTTCCTTTGTGGCTTGGGTTTATTGTCACTCATTATTTGACTTATTGTTTCATTTCTGTCATAAATCCTTTTAAATTATCCTTCCTACAGTCGAAATTTCACTATGGACTTAATCCTTTCCATTTGTATCCCCTTTATCTCCTCCAATTGTCTTATTGCTCTTGCTAAGAGTTTAAGTTCTATATTGAATAGGAGTGGAAGGAGTGAACATCCTTTTCTTCTTCCTCCCTTTTGGAATTGCTCTGAGTTTTTTTCTATTTAGTATGATGATGCTGTGGGCTTGTTGTACAATTACATTATTATGTTGAATTATATCCTCTATATCCCTAGACTCTCCAGGACTTTTATCATTGATGAAAGCTGGGTTTTACAAAGGCTTTTTTCATATATTCAGAGGGTCATATTGTTTTTGTCCTTTACTCATTTTATGTGGTGTAGTAAATATGTTGATTTGTGTATGTTGAATTATCCTTGCATGTTTGAGGTGAAGACAACTTGACCACGGTGGATGATTTTTTTAATGTAATCCTGAACTTTATTTGCAAGTATTTTATTGAGAATTTGTGTTTATATGTTCATTAGGATAATAGGCCTATAATTCTATCTATCCATCTATCTACTATCTATCTACCCATCCATCCATGCACCCATCCACGTACCCACCCACCCACCCACCCATCCATCCATCCATCTATCCATCTATCTACCTGTCATCATCTCTCAACACCAGGTTATCCCTGGATCAAAAAAGAATTTGGAAGAGCTGCTGATTTACTACTTTTTACATGCTGAGCCATTTCCTAAGGCCCTGACTTGCATTTTTATCTTATTTTAATTTTTTCCCCTTTTAAATGTTTATTTCATTTTTTTAAGTATACAGGTATTTTTCCTGCAGGTATGTGTGAGCACTTCGTGTGTTCCTGGTGCCTGAGGAGGCTGGAAGAGTTTGTTTGAGCCTCTGTATGGTTGCTGGGAACTGAACCCTCATCCTCCACAATAGCAGCCAGTGCTGTTAACTGCTGATACAACTCTCAAACCCACATTTTCTTTCTTTCTTTGTTTTTGGAGATTGTGTCTTACTATGAGGCTCTGGCTATCCTGGACTCAGTAGACAAACAGGCCTCAAACTCACAGACATCTACTTGCCTCTGCCTTCTGAGTGCAGGATCAAAGGCATGGCCCACCATGTCCTACTTCTGACATGCATGTTTAAAGTTCTTACTGTACAATGGGTCCTGTGCTAGCATTGAGGATGAGCACTAGACAACAAATCAAACCTCACACTGCTTCCACCTCCCTGGGAGACAGACAGCAAGCAAAATGAAACACACCCAGGTTAGATGGAGGCTCCAGTGTCAGAAGGGCTGAAGATGGTCAGATCAGCCTCAGCCCACAATGACACCAGTGCTGGGAGGCTCAAGACTATTCTACACCCTCCACAGATCACCTCCTGCCCTCTGGTCCAGGCTGCCATATCATCCAGACAGCAGACAAGTGGCAGCCCCAACCATTGTGGGAAGTTGTAGGGGGGGGGCACCTCCACAGACCTGTGAGCTTTTGTCCTGCATTTGGTGTACAGCACAGCCTCAGTTTCTCAGGCTCCCAGTCCAGCCAGCACCAACTGCCTAGGGATCTGGAATTGCCCATGTTGCTAGAAAGACCTACTTCATCAATGCCACCACCAAGCTCATCCTCTTTGGATTTTTCTTGTTTCAAATCTACCTCTTCCTTCTGCTCCATTTCAGTGAACTTACCCCCATGGGAGCCCCCAACCTGCTGTGCCTCCGTGGTGCCCCTTCAGCAACCAGATGCATGGCCTCCCATAACAATGTCTTTGCCTTGGGCCAGGGCGGAGCATCTCATCAAATGCAAGACCAACTAGACCCAATGATTAGAGGCTATGGTTGCATCCTACTGGCTACCACAGCAGACAGCAGGGATGTCATGCAAAGTGCTGCCCCCTGCTAAATCTCTCTTGACCTGCATGTCCTGGCCTAACTTTGGTTTCCAGCGGCCTTCCTGTCTGTCCCATCTGCCCATGATCAAGGCGCTGCCCAGAGATGCAGTATTTATAAGACCAAGACAGCTCTTGCAGAGCTCAGGCTCCTCAACAGCGTTGATTCCTCCAGCATGGACCCAGGTCTCAGCCACCCCATCTTCACCCACCTCTCCATCTCCAAGGCCTGAGGCAAGGGGGCGCCCTCTATAGGATGGGAGAGATGCTGCAGGCAGCACTGGGCCAGGATGGCACTAAGAACACACCTCTTCAATTTAGCAGGTAGAAAGGGTTTTTGGGTAACCTATGTGAGTCAGCCTTGTGGAAATTTTATCAACTGTTTTGTGACATAAATGGATGGGTAGCACCATTTCAGAGCTTTGAATGAATTCTTGAGGCTTTGTTCACAATATTCCTACTCAAAGTAGACGATGTTGCTGGAGCAGGCCATTAGTGTACATCTCACAGGTTTAACAGTCATGGAAAAGGAGTGAGAAGCCAGAAGGCATCTGCAGAATCCATACTTGCAGCTCTGCAGCTGGTGGCACACTTTGTTCATGCATTTGAGTTCACCTTCACTCTTGTTATCCCAGGATCCCAATGGGCAATTGTGAAAGGCTATGGGAAAGGGTAAATGGACTGCAGAAGGGAGAGGTTCCTTTCCTTCTAAAAGCCCTTCATTGTCACATTTTCTCAATCTGGCTGTTAAACAACCAGGTCATGCAGACTAGGGAGGACACATTTTGACCTTTTCTGTATACGTCTTCCCATCATGCTGGAAATGAATGTGTTAGACAAAAAAGTGCAGAATTTTTTAAAGCCAGTTGGTCATATCTGCTTTTGAGATTTCTAAAACCATGGATCTTTTACTCAATTAGAAATGAAGCAGAGGTTAAAAAATGTTAGTGGTCTCTAATGATAAAATTGAAAGGAATACACAGATATTTGTGGACTAAAATCAAGACCATGGCATTGACAAGTGATAAAATGAATGAAAATGTAACATTCCCTTTTTATGAAAAATAACACATCTCAAATCGTCCTTAAAGTCTCAAGAAGAGAGTAAGTACCGACTCCAGGAACCAGAGGTCACACTGGAGAACTTGGTCACAGAAACACTTCAACTGTTGCTTCTGACTCTGTTTCCACTTCCACATCTGTTGCTGTTGCTCCTGCTTCTGCTGTTTCTGCTTCTCATGCTTCTGCTTCCTCTCCAGAGGCTCCAGCCTCTGCTGCAGCTGCTTCTGCTGCATGCGTTTACAGCTGTTGTGACTGCTGCTGTAGCACAAGGCAAATGAACCCACTCTACAAAGACACAGTGGGCATACTAACAGCTAGGATTCTGTTATTAAGGAGACAGGAGAAAAGAATAAGTAAGACTGTGACATGTGTTGAAAATAGATAATCATGTTTGACTTACAAAACAAATTCTCTTTTGGGCTGATATTCATGATGAACATATATTATTGTGATGGGTTTATACTCAAGGCCACAGGCAGGCATTTCTCAGTATTACAATCATTTACCTTGTTGGATCCCATTTCTACTTACATAGAAAGCAGTGTTATACAAAGACAGTCATCACAGCTGGCAAATGTGAGGGAAGCCCATTGCCTTGTCATGTGGTTAGAGGAATTCATCCACACAGAAGTCAGACTGCTGTTCCTCACCAAGAACCCACTTGCCTCCAGTTCCACTCACAGTACCTGCCAGTGTCTCCTGACACAGATAGATCTGGCTCCTGTTTCATCTCTGACTTGAACTTGGATTTTTCTGTCCCTGTCCCTGCAGGGAAGTGACACTGAACACTCCAGCATCTTCCTGTTCTTGAATCTTTTTTGTCTGGCTTTTCTTTTCTTTTTTTAAGTCTTTTTCTAAAGACATTTTTTTTTATTCCTTTTACATGCCAACCATAGATCCCCGTCTCATACCTCCTCTGCTTTTCCCCCAGGTTCTCCTGGACCCACCCTCCTCATTCCCTCCTCCAAAAGTGTAAAGGCTCCTCCCATGTGGAGTAAGCAGAGCCTGGCACATTCAGTTGAGGCACTACTAAACCCCTCCCCCATGCAGCAAGGCTGAACAAGGCTTTTCTTATATTTCCTTCCATTTTCCTTATATGCCATGCTCTCAACTTCTCCCACTTGGTCCTACTCATTTAAGTTCCTTCCATCTTCCCTTACAGTCCAGAAAAATTGCTTTTTGTCCTCTAACTACCACATGTCTATCTGTGTGCCTGTCTCATTTATTGTAATTTATGTATACTTCAACTCCAGTAGGTGTTTGTCTACTTACCACTGTAACCTCATTGGTTAGGTAATGGGCTAGCATGCAGTAAGTGACTACTCACAGTCTATTTATTGAATGAGTAAATGAAGTTTACCCCAAGTGTTGTTTTAAAGATTAGATTAATTGTCACTTTAAAAGTTTGATATAGATCAATTCTCTGAATTTTTTTACAAATCATAATAATTAAAAACTCTGACAATCTTTTTTAAGTATTCCATATACATAAACTTTTAATAATGAAAAGAATGAAAGCAAAACATATAATCAAAGCAGTTAATTATGTTAATTTTGTTGAAACAAGTCAATATCAGCATACAATATTATTTTACAGTAATATTTATACACTCATAAGGTATAATGTGTCATATTATGTTAGAATAGTAATTGCCAAATTTCTGTTATTGATATAATTGACTATAATGTTGTGATTTAAACATGTGAATAATTGCTATACTATGTAATAATGAACATATTATTTAATCTTAACCAGTAATAAGTCACCAGAAAGGTATGACATGTGTGGGGGACACATTACATTTCCAATAGGCAACACTACTCTGTCATTCTCCAGGGACTGAAATATGAGTAGAGAGGAAATGACAAAGTTTTTGTGGAAGAGAATGTCCCAAAGACTGTTGTCATGGCCCCCAGGACCTCTTTATTCCTCAGGCTGTAGATGATGGGGTTGAGCATAGGAGTGAGGATAGTGTAGAAGACAGTCAGAATCTTATCTTCTGTGGGCTAACGGAGACTCCTGGGATGAAGGTAAGTGTAGACAAAAGGTGCATAGTAAAATGTCACCACAGTTAAGTGAGTTGAACATGTGGTGAAGGCCTTTTTCTTTCCTTCTTTTGAGCACATATGGAAGACAGCAAAAAGGACCCATCCACAGGAAGCTGTGATGCCAAGGAAAGGAAGTAGAAGAAACAGGCTTGTACTCACAAATACCATGTACTCATACACCCAAATGCCCTTACAGGCCAGGGGCAACATGGCAGGGACATCCCAGAAGAAATGGTTAATGGACCTAGAATGGCAGTAAGGAATGTGAAGGAGATAGACTGTATGTGATAAGGAGTTAATGGAGCCCAGTGTCCAAGATCCTATGATCATCTCCAGACACATCATTTTGCTCATGGGAATAGGATAATGAAGAGGGTGGCAGATGGCCACGAAATGGTCATAGGCCATGGAGGCCAGGAACAAGCCCTCAGAACCTGCCATGTTCAGAAAAAAAAAAGGATTGCACTCCACAGCCAGTAAGGTAATGCTTTTCTGGCCAGAGAGGAAGTTGAATGCCAACTCGGGAACAGTGGTAGAGATATGCATCAGGTCCATGAGAGAGAGCTGACTGAGCAGAAAGTACATGGGGGTGTGGAGTTTGGGATCCACACGAATGAGGTGGATCATTGCTGAGTTGCCAAGCAAGGCCACAGAGAATATGGAGATGATGAGCAGCAAAAGCAGTAGGCCTATGTGAATTTGTGGTAATAATCCTAACAAAATGAAATCACGTGAGCTCTGATCCCATTTCTCCATGAAAATGTATTGCTTTCTCTTTCTTCAAAAGTGACCTGAAAGTAAAATGCACTTATATAATGTAGAACAGGAGAATAAAGAGGAACTGGCTTGGAATGAATGCTTGCACTGAGTTGTTCTTACAACCAGCACCATCCTTCTGTTGAATTTATTTTGAAATCTGAACTGAATGTTTCTTCCCCCTTGCCTCTGGCCAAGTTCTCAGTTCAGAGATACCTGTATGGTCATATTTTATTTTTTAACAAATATTTTTATTTTATAATTAATTTTATTTTACATATCAGCCACGGATTCCCCTGTCCTCGCTTCTCCCAAACCTCAGGCTTCCCCCCACCAAATCCACCCCCTATTACCACCTCCTCCAAGGCAAGTTCTCCCCTGGGGAGTCAGCCCAGCCTGGTAGATTCAGTTGAGGCAGGTCCAGGCCACTCCTCCCTGCACCAAGGCTGAGCAAAGTGTCACAGCATAGACCCCATGTTCCAAAAAGCCATCTCATGCACCAAGGACAGGTCCTGGTCCCACTGCCTGAGGGGCCTCCTAAACAGTTCAAGCTCATCAACTGTCTCACTTATCCAGAGGGCCTGGTCCAGTTCCATGGGGGCTCCTCAGCTATTGGTTCACAGTTCATGTGTTTCTGCTAGTTGGGCTATTTGTCCCTGTGCTTTTTCCATCATGGTCTTGATATCTCTCACTCATAGAATCCCTACTCCCTCTTGCCTGTTGGACTCCTGGAGCTCCACCTAGGGCTTGACTGTGGATCTCTGCATCTGCTTCCACCAGTCACTGCATGAGAGTTCTATCATGACAGTTAAGGTGTTTGGGAAAAAACTCTGACAATCTTTTAAAGCCTTCATAATGACAAGTTTCCATGCAAAAGGGAAGTACCAACTCGCAGTTATCAGTATTTCCTCTTCTGTCAGTATTTATAATAGTATTAACTATGAATAAGTAGAACAAAAAACACCCCACAAAAAGTTATTTAATTGTTACTAGCATAATAAGTATAAATAGTAAATGTAGTAAAAGCTATTGTGGAAATGGGAAATCTGGTGTCAAGGAGTTCCTATTGTCACGATAAAAAGCACCATGACAATAATTCAAGATCATTGAAGAGACTTCATTTTCTCCAAAAAGACAATATATGAAGTTATTGCTGTGTGTGGTAAGGGAGAGCTGTGTTGGTCAAGCACAGGTCTAACACAGAATCCTGCCTAATTTGTATAGTGTTCTGGGAATAGTGATAGTTAGAGCTGTGCCAATTCAACCAGTGAGTAGGCTGACATTTGGGATGAATGTTTAAACCTCACCCACTATAGGCAGCCAAGAAAATAAGGAGATGACCCTTGCATTTTACACTCAAAATAAATCATTCTAAACATCATTTTACTGTTGCTGCTCTATATTATACATTAGCATATGTTTTTAAAAAAGATTTTGCTCATTAAGGCCCTCCTGGCTACCATCCCCACCAGGGTCCTTTCTGTCTTCTCCACCTCCTCCTCCTCTTCCAATCTTGCTGCCTTTTCAGTCATCTTGGCTATGCCTGGGATCCCAGGGTGTACATGTTGAGCACCACTGGAATTCTGGAGACCCAGGCCCAGAGACTCCAGCCCATGGCCCCTGTTGTCTGGGGCCTATCAGTATACTAGGAAGCCACCCATTTCAGCCCACAGCACCAAGGTCTCTGATAGCCCTGCTGCCATCCCACAGAGCTGGGCAAGGTGAGGCAGGTAGGTCAGACAGTATAGAGACTCAGCACCAGCTACTGCTAGGCATTTGGCCTCAGACCCTGGCCCAGGTCATGACCAAGGTGGAGGCCAGACTTCAAGGCAGTGGGCACTCTGAGCCCAGGCAAGTGGCAGCGGCTTGATAAGGAGGCTGGGGACACCAAAGAGTAGCTGCTGCTCCAGGTGCACCCTCCTAAGAGGCAGGATGAATTCCAGGACTTGCTTACTTCACTGAAGCAGATACAGCCTCAACTGCTGCCCATTCTCTGCCTGAAGGGCATCTTCAGACTGCCACAGCACACTGAGGGCATGGGTGAGTAGTAGTTCCTTGGCCTCCCCTGGACTGCCACCCACCTCTTCTCTCTGCAGCTCACTCAGTGTGTCTAGGATCTGGTAGTGACCACTACTCTACTTGAATGTCCAGGGTGACACCTTCTCTCTTAGCCCACAGGGAAGGGACCTGTGGCTGGACATGAATTTATACCTACTGCCTCTGTTCTGATTCTCTCAAGCAACAATAGCAGAAGCCTTTCCTTCCCTGTCCTGGTTGTCCTCAGTGGGACATGATGTCCTGTGTCATGTGGAGGTGGTAGAACACCTTGGAAAGATGTGGTTTGTTCTCTTTTCAAACTCCTCACCAGAAGTTGAAATCAGTAAGAAGAGATTCTACACTAAGGGTAGAAAGCCTAAGTTTTGATCCTGCCTATCCATTTAAGTATCACGAGTGTCTATTCTCTCTGTGCTTTATTCCTTCTTGCTTCCTGGAGGTCAGTATCTTTCTGGTCCAGATTACCTGTGAATTATGCACAATGCCATACCCATTTTGCTTTAGGAAGTAATGGCTCAGTTTAGGAAGTTACATGGTAGCATGTGAAAATCCTATAATGGTTGGTGAGGCTCAGTTTCTTCCCTGAGGCCTGAGTTTCCACTGGAAGAGAGATGGTGACTGATTCCTGTGAGTGCTGTCCTTTGGAACCGTGTTCTTGATGTGGAATGACTGATTCGTGAGTGCATATTCAGTGAGGGATTCTTCTGGGAGTTTGTTCCTGATAATAGGCTTGTCCTGACTGAGCTGAGAGTGGAAGGCATAGAGCAGAGGAAGGAGGAGAGCTCGCACTCATGGTGTGTATCCTTGCAGGAACTTTACCTTATCACGTCGAAATGCCATTATTTGTATGTGCTCTATCTATTATTTATATTCTAACAAAATAGTCAACTATGGCTGCTGTGGTTAAATTGCTCAAGAAGGATTTAATGTCAAGATTTGAAATATCACGTGTTGCATATTTAATACATGCAACCATTGAAAGAGCATGTGAGTGAGTCTTCTATGTTTCCTGCCTTCTTAAGTGTGAATTAATTCACATAACAAAATCAATAGCCATAAGCTGGTAAAGGAAAGAGAATGAAGGGAGCTGGAAAAAAGAATAAAAAGCAAAAACAAAAAACAAAACAAAAACAAAATCCTTTAGCAATTTGTGGGCTATAGTTTAAGAAGACCTGTTTCTGTGACCATTAAAAGTCCCAATGATGAAATGCGTTATTTTACAAGTTGTTCCTGGTTGCAGCACCTACCTCCATGGTCCATCTCCACCCTCCTTTCTTTAGGTGGAAGAAATTCACATACAGAGAGGCTAAAATGGCAACCACATAACAGAGCATTTCATGAGTGTCCCTGCTGTCTCCTCCTTGAACTTCTGGCTTTTGCACTCTGTTTTGCAGACCTGCACTCTGTCCCTGTAACTACGGTTATTTCAGTTCCTGGGCCGAGACCTTAGCCTCCTTCTATAGCCCTTTGAAGTTGCTCAGAAGGGGCTGTCACATGTTCTGGAAGGAGAAGGACAAAATCAAAATGACTTTTCCCTTATAAGTAGTTCTTTTTATTTCTGAAGAAGGAAGTTTGTCAAAGATCTGTTTCCAGAAATCTTGCTGAAGAAGCACAGAATTAGAGGGCAACCAAGAGTTCTTCACAGGCATGTGTGTGCATCAGCCCTAGGGTTAATCTCTGGCCTAAGGTAATTAGTGGACACATTGCCACTCATTACTAACACTCAGCATACCTGGCAGCTGAGGTACTTCCCTGATCTGGCCTTTAAGGAGCTTCTCCTGACCTCCAAAGAAGGGCATAGAATAAGGTTGAGATTCATCTCTAGGACTGTGATTTCAGATCCATTTCCCCATATCCCCAAATTTTAATAGTCAGGAAATCCATAGAACAATACATTATATTGAAATTAATGTTTTTTATTTTATTATTTTATAGATGAAAAGAATTTAGGCCGGGCGGTGATGGCACAGGCCTTTAATCCCAGTACTTGGGAGGCAGAGGCAGGCGGATCTCCAAAGCAAGTTCCAGGAAAAGCACAAAGCTACACAGAGAAACGCTGTCTCAGAAAAACAAAACAAAAAAAATTTAGAACAGCACTTGAGAGGGTAAGACATCAATGAAAAAAATCACTGTTCCTGGTTATAGACTAGCAACTGTAGATATCCAGGGTGTTCAGGATCTTCCTGCCTCCTCCAGACTGATCAGAGCTTTCCCAAATCCTGTATTGAGGTGATGTTGTCCCCTGTGTAGACAAAGATGATAGTGCTGGTCAGAGGAGCAGGGTTATTATTCCATGAACAAGGTAAAATGTGCAAGGAGTCAGGTCCCTGCTGAGCAGAATGCCAGCTACTGTTTTGTCAGGTCCAGACAGGAAGAGTTAGGGCTCCTTCTATCAGGAAAAGTTTTCTTACAATTTTTTTTCTTAAAATCTCAATGATGGAATGTTTACCTGGTGTCTCCTGAAATGAATTAGCCTCGGTGAGAGCTCTGCAAAATCCTTTGATATAGGCCTTCCAAAGTAAGGTCTGGTGTAGTGTTCATGACTGTGAGTAGTAGTCAGATTTAATAAAGTAGTGCACTCTACCAGTCATGGTCCCTTGCTTGGGTATTGATCATTTCAACTATCTCTTGATTAGTGTCTGATAATATTTTGCTGTAATAGTATTTTTACAGATCACAGAGGCCATATTTGACACCTCTCTTTATATTCCAGTAACCATTCCTAGGATTGGTTATAAAAGCTTACAAACGTAACTTAGCATGGCAAAACAACATCATAGTGCTTCCAATTATAGGTGTGCCTTTTATCCCTCCTATCAAAATATATCTTTCATTGAGAAGGTTAGTGTTAACATGTAATAAGTCAAGAAATAAAACATCATTCTTGATTCAGTAATATAAGTGTCCTTGTTTTCACCCCAAAATCTCAGTGATCAGAAAGCATCTTGATGTCTCTTGCTCCAAGTTAAAGATAGGTTTACTCTCCATCCCACAGTCATGGGTTTGTTGTTTACATTCAGTTGTTTCATTATTAGGTGGTCTCAGGGATGCTATCCTGGTCAGATCGAAAACCATCTAGGACTTTATGAATTTCCCAGAAAAATATAAAAATATCCTTGCTTCAAGGTTAGTTTATTAGTCCCTCTCCATCGATCAGATTGTATATCTTTTGACTTAACATTTCCT